CTTTTTTAAGTACATTAATTCCTATTATGGAACCTAACTCTTTTTATGTCCCAATGCACATATAATTCATTGATTGGGCAAGACTTATTCACCACGATTTAGTTCAATAAAATTTCACATATTTCTCATTCATTTCTTATCTCAAATGTATCCCTCTTTTCAGCGGCCCTCTAACAAATCCTTATCCTTGCTCATATAAAGCCCTGTGGATCTTTGACTTTAACCCATTGAAGTGACAAGCTTCATTCCTATCCAAACAGATTAGCTTCAATAAAATTCCATTCACTCCTCAGCCATTCTTTATCTCAAATAAACCTCACTTCATCTTAACTTCCCCCTACCTTATCCATATTCTAACTCACAAAGATAAAAATAAAGATTAATGATAGAAAAACTCACTATAATAACGGCAGTAACGATAACATTACATTACTTAAATTCTGGTATAGTCCTAGATAACCGCCGAGTGAAAGTTCACGCGATTGCTAAAGCTTGGGCATCTCAACTAAACTAGTATATTTTATATCAATATTTGGACTTATATAAGCTATCCGCGCTGTGGATGCCGCGATTGCTCACACTTGACTATAAGCTTGGCGATGTTTAAACACAATCTGAACGGTGTTTTGCATAATTTCAAAATAGCTATATTTTCAGCCAAAAACTTAATTAATTTAAAATAATAATAAATTTTTGTTATTGCAATTTCACTACTGTTTGATAAAAAAACTCTCTGATCAAAAAAAATAGTTTATATATTGTTGTTGTTATTTTTATGTGAAATGTGGCCTTTGTCAATCATTCACCTTTTTCCAGATTCATGGCTGATTGCTTCGTTGGCTTGTAGTTTTTTTTTTTTTGAAAAAGTGCTGGTTTAATATGCGGCACAGGTCCACAGACGTAGAATATATATTCTATCCCAGAAAATATGAAAATTTTCTTTTTATTGAGATTGCGTTTGTTTTTATAAAGGTTAAATTATGTCAATTAATTAATTAACGTATATTACTCTATAGAATTAAAGTATATAATAACAATATATTAAGAAGTTTGTATTATCTACAGTTTGTATGGAGTAAGTTTAAGATGTATTGCTTTTATTTTATTTGATGTATGCAATTAATTCAGTTGAAAAAAATGATTAAAGGATCCTTTAGTAACATTAATTTAACATATCGTACATAGCACTTTATTTGACTTAATAGACTGCAATTTGAAAAGTACTTTTCGGTTTAACTACAATAGCGACATACGTCGAAATTAATTTGTGGTATGTCCTGTGCGACATTATGCAGTACTCAGCCTTTTTGCAACACGGCTAAAGCATTTAAGACTGAAAACCATGCAAAAGCTTTTCCTAACAGCATTCTAAACATTCATTATCCTTTCGAATACACAATACAAACGCATTGACAAATAAAATTTATTTTGCGGTCCTTGTGGCTTTCTCTACGGAATTTCATTGCCATTCATTTTAACTGCTTTCATTTCATTTTTCACTAATGCCTTTTCTTCACAATAATTGCATTAAGACAATTAAGCAAACCACAAAAGTATCACAATCAACTCCGCCCACTAATGTTGCAATTAGCTTTTGTCCTCCAAACTCCAAAAGGACATGGAAAAGGAAAAGCACAAAATGGCAGACGTGTGCTGCCACTGTGTGTGTATGGCGAAAGGATCCGCTGCCTGGCAATTTTCCAAGGATAATGGCTGCATAATGTGTTCGCTTTTCACATTTAATTGCGTTTGTGCAAGATGAATTCGAAGGATGCTCTTCCTTTGTATCCTGACTCATTAGTGCGCACAACGGGTGAAGTGTTTGTGGGATATCATATACTACAAATGCGTTTTACTATACATAAGCAGTTTATTTAATTAATTTATTTTAATGTTCTTGTCAATTTGTATAATTGACATGTGTATTTCTATATCTATTAGTCCTATTGAAATATGTGTGTGTATGCGTGTATCTATGCATAATTGCCGGAGCAGCCATTGTTGCGGTTTTTATTGTGAAAAGGATACGCAAGCTCACTGACGCATCCTTTTGTGGTTGTTTCTATTGTTGAAGATATGTTGCTTTGCATTTGTTTCAATTTAGTTAAATTGCTGCTGAACATATTTGTTTAGATATTTATCTTCGAATGTAATTTGATATTTTTCAGTTGTAAATTTAAATAAAAATTGAGTTGAAGTGAAGTGCAATTTACATATGAGACGCAGCAAGTCCTTCTATTGAATATTTTAAAAAATGTGTACATGTGTTGATGCCAATCTGCTTAATTGTGTTTGATGTTTTAATGGAAATGAAAATGAATTTATTAACTCTGAAGTGCTCAATTTTTATTTTCCCCAATTATTCATATTAACTTATAACGCATAAAGAAAAATTCTAAATATTTCACAATTATTTGTTATGCTCGAAAATTGTGATTTAAAAATTATTTAGTAAAAGTTCGAGACCTGAAAAATCTTCAATACTCTCCCAGCACACCAAGCTGCGGTTATTTAACAGTAATGTTAAGAGCGTTCTGCTCTACGGCTGCGAAACCTGGCTTACTACCAACAACCTGATTCATAAACTGCAAACTTTTATAAACAAATGCCTTAGGAGAATTCTGAAAATTTGGTGGCTCCGCACTATTAGAAATTCCGAACTATGGTCAAGATGGCGCCAACTTCCTATAGCAAACGAAATCAAAAAGCGTAAATGGCAATGGATCGGGCACACTTTGAGGAAGGCACCAAATGAAATCTGCAAACAAGCATTAACATGGAATCCTCAAGGAAGCAGAAGACCTGGTAGGTCCAAGCAAACGTGGAAGCGAACACTGGAGAAAGAAATCCAAGCAAGCGGAAAAACCTTTGGAGAAATTAAAACCCTGGCAAAAAATCGTGACAGTTGGAAAAAGTTCGTTATGGCCCAATGTTCCCTTGGGAACGTACTGGATTGATTGATTGATTGTAACCATTCTGAGATTTGATAACGCGGTGTTGGTAAGTCTGCAAGTTTTCGAAAATAAATTCAGGGCTCTACGCTCTATCCTTTATGTATTTTTTGATGGGATCAATCTTGAGGTACCTGAGGATGTCATTCGTCCTAATGTACCATGGAACTTTGAAAAGTCTTCTCAGAGCCTGGCTTTGTGCAATTTCTAGCTGGCGAATAGTAGTGTTTAAAGCTTTGCTAAACGCTACACATCCATATAGAAGTGATGGAGGAATTATTTGGTTATAGGTATATCAGTTTCCTGTTCTTAGCATTGAGATTTTTATTTCTGAATAGCGGTTGGAAGTGATTAAGAATTTTGGCACAGCTAATTCTTTGATAGTTTGTCAAACTGTTCGTCAGTGAAAACGAAGTGAAAGATCTACTAAATTATCTAAATTCGGCGGTATGGATTAAGTCTCTACTCTTCTATGCAAGGGTTCTTGCGAGGAATGTGGTAGCAAAACGACAAAAAATCTCAAATTGAGGTACATGGAAGTTATCTAATGACCTGTCACTGCCACTGCAACCAACCAACCAACCATTTTAACCGGAAGGCCGAAAATCCGCTGTTGTTGTGTGCGCCTCAACCACTGTTTCTCAAGCAAAACATCTGAGTTTATTTTAATATCTTTAAATATTTAAGTGACACATAGATGTGTATCTCTGCAAAAAATTGTATAGCAATAAAGTCATCTTTCTGAAAACTCTTTTAAACATTTCTGGTAACATGATTTGAAAAAAGCAGCCATTTTTAAACTAAATCCGAGCTGTATCAAGCTCGTTAAATCAAACTAACTTAAGCATTTCTATGGTCTGAAAAATTATTGTAAAATTAATAAAATAATATCCTGAATAACGATTTGTAGTCGAAGTCATGGTAAGTATTACAATATTCCAAGTAACCATCAGACCAGGTTTATTCTAAAATAAACCTGATCCTAAAAAAGTCATCTTTTCTTTTTTTTCGGTATAGAGCTGAATATGAGTTATCTAATAAAACATCTGGACTACGATCACAATAAGATGTTAGTGTCTCATATCACAGTTTAGTCACCTCTGCCTAGCAGTGCTAAAGAAACTTTACAGATCCTGTTAAAACATTCTGGTTTCTCTCTACAAAAAAAAGATGATACTGAGGTTAGATGTTTCAATTATGTCGGTAATCAGGTATTCCTAACCAGAATGCTTTTTATTCGGTTAAGCGTTTATTGCAGTAAAAAAAAATCATGGAAACACTATCGTAATGGATGTCTAAATTCTTTATTTGTATTTCAGAATATATAATATAATTATTTTATTTTTTATATTTTTATTATTCTATTCCATTCTTATATTTTTTTATTATTGTATATTATTATTATATTCAAAATAAAAAGCTATTTCTGAACAGAAAAATAAAACAACAGTTTCAGATTAGTGATTAATAATAACCAACAAACGAATAGAATTTATTTTATAATAATTATATCAATTTATAGATAATACATAAGAAAAAAAAAAGAAATTAAAATAGCAACAAAACATGCTAGATATCATCTAGAATTGACATATATTGCCAATAGAAAGGCTCTAAACCAAAATTGGAAAAAAATCTTAGAATTGAAGTTAAGTATATGGAGAAAAAAAAATTAGAATTCAACTATTCCATATAGGAAAGGTTAAGTATATTTAAAAATATAATAATAATTATAAAATAATATATTTATTTTATAATAGTTATAGAAATTTTTATAAATAAGACAAAAATAAAAATAAAAATAGTTGCAGAACATGCCAGATATCATCTAGGAAATAAAAATGAAAAAAAAAATATTAGAATTGAACTTTTCAGTATAAAATTAAATAAATGGAGAAAAAAAATTAGAATTCAACTATTCCATATAAGGTTAAGTATATTTACAAAAGTCGAAAACTTTTGTATTTGCTTTTTTACATACTTTTATTTCCATTCTGTAAACTTTTACATTAATCTAAAATCGACATCCTTCTTATTTTTTTCTTGCAGCATTTGTCTCCTGGATGAAATTTTACTCCACGTTTCCAAAGGAGCTGAAACCAATCTTTAGCGTTAAGAATGCTCATATGGGTCACTTTGCTAAAAGCTTTGGTTTAAAAGATCCACCAACATCATTCACGAAAAAACATTCATTGCCCAAACAACAGCCACCAACAAATCGTTTAACTTACACAGAAAGGTATATTAGTTATCCTCAAATTAATTATTAAATATTCACTATATACATTTTTCAGGGATCCTGAAAGAATAAAAGTGGAAAAAGAAACGAAAAAACGTCGTTTCGCCACTACAGTCACGGATAATGTGAGAAATATGAATCGGCCAGTAAAAAATGTTCTACTGAAAATGCTCCCCACTTCCCGAGCACTCAATACATCTGAGTTTGATAGTGGACTACCACCAATCAAGAAAAGAAAATAAATAGTTAAAAATAGATTTCATGGAGATATTATAAGATATGGTTATCCATATATCTCTATTGGAAGAGCGTAAAAAGATTTGATTGTAAATATTAATATTAACCTTCTTAAGAATAAGAATCTTTCTTCTTTAAGAATTGCAAAAAACAACTATAACGTGGTTTGCCAAATGTTTTTTTTACTTTTTTTGACTTTTGTGTTATTAAGTGCTATAAAATCAATTAAACAAAATCTGTTAAAGGACGTTCTTATAATTTTTTGAGGTATTTACATATAATCAATCATATACATATTTTATATACAACATATTTTCTGTTATTGAAAATAAAACGCCCGACGTGTTAGTTTTATTTTGCTTTCAAAAATAATAGTTATTTTTGAGTTTTATATTTTAAAGACAAAAATAATAATTATTTGTGCATTTTAAAATAAAAAGCAGAGTGTATGAGTTAAAAGTAAAAGGAAAATAATAATAATTATTTTTTAAAAATATAATATAAAGCGAATTAATTTATCATTTTTTAAATTTAATTTTGAGACGTTTTTTTTTAATTAAGTTCCACTAAAAATAATATAATATAAATAGAGAAAATGAAAGCAAGACAAGTAAAAACAAATTTTAAATAAAAACAATAAATTTTTAATAAGATAAATAATAATTCATTAATAAATTCATAATGGAAATGAAAAAATGTACGAAAATACGCAGAGTGTTGAGTTATTTGTGTGTGAAAAAGTAAATGACATATAATAATAATTATTTTTGAAAAATATAATACAAAGCAAATTTAATTATTTTTTAAATTTTATTTTAAAACGCTCTATAATATATATAGAGATAATCAAATCAAGACAAATGAAAACAAAAAATAAAAACTTTATAAAAAATTATTGTAAAACTGAAAAAAGGTACGCAAATACGTAGAATGCGTTAGTTTTTTGTACGTCAAAAAGTAAAAGGCAAATAATAATAATTATTTTTGAAAAATGTAAAATAAAGTAAATTATTAATATTTTTTAAGTTTTATTATAAAACACGAACATGTATAAAGCATGCATAATATTATGAATGAAAGTTTTTAGAATGATAACTATATACTTAAAGAAGAATTAAAGAAAAATGTTTAAAATAATTATTATTTTCGGTCCCTATTACTATTACGGCACTATTACGAAAAACTAAAATATGTTTGTTAAGTTGCGTTGAAGATAAATGTTATTAAATGTCCTTTGTTATTTGCAATTGAACAATTTCTAATTATTCGATGTTCCACAATAAAAAATTATATATATTACAAAAAATTTTTATCTAAAAAAAAGTTTGATGAGATATTGTAAATATTAAACAATTTATTATAAATTAGACAGTTAAATCTAATGATGAATAAATGTTAAATGTCTTATAAAATTGTGTAAATATATCTAATATTTAAAAAACAAAAAAGAAACCGCTTTTAAAACTCGTAATATAAGATCGGTGTCAAATACATATAACAATAACAGTCTATTGATTTTAATATTTTGTACTTGTTATTGAAAGTACAAGAAACGGATTAATGTGTAAAAATCTATGTATGTAACCAGATATTTTTTAATTAATTACAAAAATAATAGTTAAGAGATCATTAACTTGCAAAATAATATTATTATAAAATAAAATAATAAAATACTTTTTCCGAAAGAAAATAAAATTTTTATTCCAACAAACAAAGGGAATACTTTTTGTCCCCAAAATGAAAATAAGATCATTCAAAAAAAAAAAAAAGTGGAACCAACAAACAGTATACAGGTTTTCGATAACTCTCTCGACAATACAAACACATCCAGGTGCTTAAACGCTGGTAAGTCCCTCCCTCTTGGCAACTTTAATTTTGATATATTAAAACAATTTAATTTAATTGATTTTTGAATATAAATATTTCTGTAATGAATGATATGCTGGCAATACACTGATGGAATGAGCTTGTAGAATTTTTTATGGGCCCATGATGGTGAAAAAGCTCCAGTTTATTGAGTTTAATTAGTAACTGGTGGTATGAGCCCAAAATTAAAATTAATCATTGAAGGCATGGGCTTGTCGCCACAGAAATTCTTATGGGCCCATGTTGGAGACAGAGCTTCAATCTTGAAGCTTAAGTACGTTGAGTTCACTTATTGACGAAACTTCTAGGCACAAAATTAAGATTAATAATTGAAAGCATGGGCCTGTAACTCGAAATTGTTATGGGCTCATGATGGTGACAGAGTTGGAGTTTTGGAGCTCAAATTCGTTGAGTTCAAATAGTAACTGGAGGTTTGGACACATTAAAATCTGGTAAAATGCGGAGTACAATATCTACTCTGTAATTAATAGGAAATTGACCAGAACCTGGCTTTTTGTTAAGAGAAAGTGATCTGGTAATTAGGATCAACGGTTTTCTTTTAAGGTTTCTCAACAACCTCTAGAGATAAAACAATAGAACTCATATATCGTGGATATGCGATTATCTTTTTTAATAATAATAATACTAGGAGATAAGACAATAAGTAACTGTACTGGAAAGTTATACTAATTTAATTATGTGTATTTAGTTTAAAATTTTTTCTTTTTAATTATTCCATTTTATTATTTTAATATATTATATTGTAATTATTGTATTATTTCCATTATATTATGAGATTATAATGTAACGATGTAATAATAAAAGTAAATATTTGACACAGTTCAATAGCTGAATTTCTTGTAAATATCTTTTAATGATATTCAGGGATGGAAGTTATTAAAAAATAAAAAGTAAAATGCCATCATATAAGTAATCGAATACATTATATGCATTAACTCTGCGGCACGTGTCGCATCAAATTCGAATTTTTCGTTTCATTTAACTTGGTGCACACTTCCACTCAAACGAAGTGGTCACCTTTCCGGTTTTGTCAACAAATATGACATTTATACCCATAGATGTTTCCTGATACTGTACACAAATAAATTATATGCTTCCACCAATATATAAAGTCGCTGGAATTACAAAAACTAAAGTCAAATAAATGAACAATAAGAGAAATATATTTTAAACGTCACGACCAAAGGTCGCGCTGCGGACACGTGTTGCTTTACAATTAGCCGCTTTGGTGTCCACAAATAAAAAGTGAGGAAAACAAGTTATTTATATATACTATAAAGATACATTTCTGATTGATGGTTCAAAGCAATCATCTAAACATTTTTACCAATTTCAAAGGACATATAGATTTAACACGCGTCACAACCGCAGGGAACACACGCCTACAACATTTTTTACTGTCAATTATGGTGCAATCTCACAAAATGTTCCAATCCAATTGTGATTGCAGAAACATCAAATCGAAGAGTACTTCAATTAAATCGTATTTAAAGCAATCCAACAGACCTATGATATGCCAAAGCATTTGAGGCTTTGTCCACCAAGTCGCCTTGTCCTCATACGCTTCTGTGCTGTCAACGTGTTTTCAAAACTGAATGAATCTCCAGTGAGCGGAAAATGGATTTTTAATGCTAAGAAAAATTGTGCAAAACTGTTCGAAAAAAAAATATTTCCCGTATAATTCCAGTAGAGCCGTATATAGACGTGTTCTTATGTATATCGCCGCTTTGATAAAACATCCATAAATATGCTTCAAAGCGCTCTAACAACTTTTCCCACAGGACGTCCGGCTTAAAAGTTGAGAAAAATGAAAATTTCTTAAACGATTTTTTCCCATTTAACTTTTTTTTATTTTTTAATTTTATGCCATAATTTTTATATTTTTTTTTATAAAATGGCGTTTATATGGGGGTTTATGGACTAGTTTGAGTGTTTGTGTATGCGCTTTGCTTGTCTTTTTTTTAGATGAAAGCCACAGTTTTTGAACAGTTTTTAACATATTTTTTCGATTAATCGCTTGAATTGAGCGTAAAAGTAACCAACGGAATAGAAATTTCAAAAATTTTATCACATGAATAAATTCAAAAGGAAAAATAAATATTTTTTATATTATTTTGAAATAACGTTGCTCAATTTGAATTTCAAAATAATTTTTATGAAAATGGACAAAAAGTTTAAAAGTTTATGTCTATTTTTCAGTAGCTGTATAAGCACTTAATAGTTCATTTAAAAGTGATTAATGCAGTTATAATTATTAAATTATTACAGATTATTATAATCTGTAAACTTACCCTATAAAAAGCATAATCACTATACCTATCTATCTATCAATAATTAAACGATATCTTCTCAGCCAATAACACCAGGATATCTAGAATTCGTCATAGTACCATTTTAAAATACACTTTGGGAGAATGGAATTTTCGCAGATCACCTTCCGCAATATAGGAGGGTAGTTGCTACCATCCTCAGTGTATGGTAATTCCGAAATTCTTTCAATAAGTCTTAAAAATATGAAATAAATTCGAAAAATAAAATTTTTTCTGTTGGTTAAATGCGATTTAAAATGGAAAAATAAATAGAATAGAAAAACCAAAAAAAAAAAAAAGAATGGAATAGAAAAGTAACACTCTAAAAAGTTGCAATCAATTGGAATAATATGTGTATAGATTCCCTGTGATCGAATACCTTCTTTAGTCACTCTCCACGGCTCTATAAGACTTGTGCTCATGTGCATGTAGATTTTCTTAGTCCATAGACATGTAAGACTCTAAGAATTATACATGAATATGGCATTCAAATCGTACGGGCCATTTGTATCTTTATAAAATAATTAATCCAGCTTCGCTACCCAAAACAAAACAGCCTATATTATATCTATATATATCTATATAGCTATTGAATACAATGAAATATTTATAGAAACAGTCTAAAACTGTCGGAGAGAAAGTTCTTAATATTCAATAAATAGTGTAATATACACTATTTAACGTCCTAATTCAAGTGTTAACAGGAACAGTTAGAAGTTTAATGTATAAAGAGAACTGAACTTTTGTAAATAAACTTTGTAAAGAATAAGGAAAATTTTAGTCAAAGTAGGATCAGAATTCTAAAACTTTTCATATTTTTCTTCATATTTTGTTCTTCATATTTTCAAATAAATTGAGAAAAATATATTATACTAAGAGTAGAGTAGAGTCAACAATAGAGAGATCAAACTGTATTCCAGTCAAACTAAAGTTGGGTTGCAACCTAAGAAAGCTTTTTCTTTTGAAGCTTGAAGCACAACTATTCACGAATGTCAAAGAA